GAGTGCAAAAGTTGGCTTGAAACTCAACATTAAGAAAACTAAGATCATGGCATCCGGTCCTCTCACTTCCTGGCAAATAGATGGGGAAGAAATGGAGGTAGTGACAGATTTTATTTTCCTGGGCTCCAAGATCACTGCGGATGGGGACTGCAACCAAGAAATTAAAAAATGCTTGCTCCTGGGGAGGAGAGCTATGGCAAATCTAGACAGCATACTAAAAAGCAGAGACATCACCCTGCCAACAAAAGTGTGTATAGTCAAGGCTCTGGTTTACCCAGTTGCAATGTATGGCTGTGAAAGCTGGACCATAAGGAAGGCTGAGCGCCAAAGGATTGAGGCCTTTGAATTGTGGTGGTGGCGGAGACGCCTGCAAGTCTCCTGGACCTCAAGGCAATCAAACCGGTCAGACCTAGAGGAGATCAACCCTGACTGCTCATTAGAAGGCCAGATCCTGAAGATAAAACTCAAATACTTTGGCCACCTAATGAGAATGAAGGACTCTGTGAAGAAGATCCTAATGCTGGGAACAATAGATGGCAAAAGGAGAAGGGGACGGCAGAGGAGGAGGTGGCTGGATGGAGTCCCTGAAGCTGTTGGTGTGAGCTTGAGGGGACTCTGGGAGATGGTGGAGGACAGGAAGGCCTGGAGGAATGTTGTCCATGGGGTCGCGATGGGTCGGACACGACTTCACGACTAATAACAAGATTTCATCACATAAGAGGAAATCATGGCCAACAATGAAGATGTTAATAGAGAAGATGGGATTTGAAGAAAAGTTTAAGAAAGTAATAAATCAATTATATTCAAAAAATATGGCAAAAAATTGTAAATGATGGTATTACAGAAACAACAATCCTAAGCCGAGGGACAAGACAGGGTTGTCATTTATCCCCAATATTATTTGCTTTAATGATGGAAATATTGGTAAATGCAATTAGGAATGATACACAGATAGAAGGAATTGGAATACGTCAGAAAATTAAAATTAATTTGTTCCTAGATGACACATTGCTAACATTTCAAGACCCAATACATGCTATAGAGAGAATATATTTACATTTAAAGGAATCTGGGAAATACAGTGGATTTCAAGTTAATTGGGAAAAATCCAACATGATGTTATATAATCATAATAGTGAAGAAGTGGATATATTAAAGGAAAATATAAATTAAAAATAGTAGACAATATTAGATACTTAGGGATCGATATTCCAAAGAATAGTCAAGAATTAAAGAAGAAAAAATATGAAAAGTTAAAGGAGGACTTAAAAGATAAAATAGGAAAATATGAAAAGGTAAAATTATCATGGTTTGGAAGAATAGCAGTAACAAAAATGAAAATTCTGCCAAAGATTAATTTTCTGTTTTGGATGATCCCAATCAGGTTTTATGATCATGAATTAAAGGAAATGCAGAAATTTTTGGAGGTTTATTGTAATGGAGGAAAGAGAGCAAGAATAAGTAACATTCTATGGTATGATTCACAAGAAAAAGGAGGGCTGGGCATTCCAGATGTTAAAAAGTATTGGGTTGCAAACCAACTAAAGATAGTTCCAGATATTATAGCCCAAAATAGAGAATTAATATGGAGTGATATCGAATTTAAAGAAGTAAGGGAAATAGGTGATCATTTAGAGACATATTGGTTTAAAAAGTATATTAAAAAGATTATTAAGAGAATTCAAAATCCCTTTTTAAAAAATACAATGGAAGTATGGGAAAAATGGAGACAACAGTTAATCCTGGGAATTTCTCCATTAACACCAGTGGTTGAAATGGTGAAATTTCCAAAAATAGAATTGAAGGATTGGAAAACTAAATTAAAAAATAACCATATATATAGATGGGAAGACTAGAAAAATAAGCTAAAATATATTACAATGAAAGAGTATATTGCCAGAAGTTAAATTAAATTGGTTAAATCTAATTCAATTAGAAAAATGGATAAAGATGGAGGATAAATTTAAAGAGAAAGAAAGGCAATTAACAAAATTTGAAACAATCATAAAATAATGTGAGACTGAGGAAGAATGTACAAGTAAAGGAAGAATTGCCAAAATTTATATGATATTAATGGAATAAGGGGATCAGACAAAAAGTTTAAAATCTATTTGGGAAATGGATGTAGGTGAAAAAAAAGACAAGGACTGGAAGAATATTTGGAATAGAAGAGTATATAAGAATATGTCAGTTAGAATTAAAGAGCATGGATACAAGGTGATATGGAGGTGGTTTTTAACACCAGTTAAGTTAAATCAAATTGATGATAAATACTCTAATATATGTTGGAGATGTGGTAAAGAGATCGGAACTTATAAACTATATGTGCTGGGATTGTGAAAATATGCAAAAGATTTGGATTATGGTATTTAAGGAAACTGGAGAAATTTTAGATCTAGACTTAGAAATGTCACCAAGAATGGTGCTATTACTGTTGATAGAAAAACAAGCTATAAATGAAGCTAAGAAATAATTGATTGTAAGTATGATAATGGCAGTTAGGCTAGTGATAGTTAAATATTGGAAACAGAATTGGGTTTTGCAAAGGCACGGGAAAAGATTCTCGTGGCACGTGGATCAGAAGGACTCTGGTGCCTCCGGGCTGCCCCACGGGATGATGGCTGTGCTCAGGTCTTCCCTGGACCAGCCGTGGCCACGAGGCCTCGTGGGGCAGGGGGGTTTCCTTCCAGGGAGGACCGCTGGGAAGGAGCCTGCGAGGCTGCAGTGCTTTGGGATAAGAAGCTGGAGGTTGGGGAGCCGGTGCCTCCGTCGCCCTGTGTCATCCCACCAGGGAGTGTGGACGGCCACGCCGGGGTGGGGGAAGCGTGTCCTGCTGGGATCAGGACTCCCAAGGCAGTGGTGTGTGGTGCTCCCTGGGAAGGTCGCTAGGCTGGAGTCGGGAAAGCCTCGATGGAAGCTGGGACAAGGACCGCCGGGTTCAGCCAGGAAAGAACCCTTTCGCCTTGAACCCCAGCAGTTTTATTGCAAGATCACCCAGGCCCCCTGCAGTTACTTATGGCAGCATGTGACCAGGTAGCGGATCTGACTGCCAACTACAGGCTCTTAGAACATATACAGAGTGTGTTACAGATTCTGAGTCACATGGGCCCAGCAGTTGGGCAGTTCATGATGAAATAAGGGGAACACAGTCAGAAGAAGGTGAGAGGCCTGCAGAGGGGGCTCAATACAATGGCATTGGATTGCAGGAGATTAACACAATGATCACGGGATTATTGTGAGTCTTGGCATGCAAACGAGGGTGGTTGCAATGCTGTTAACCTGGCAGCCTGACCAGTTCTTGCTGATGAGCAAAACAAGAGCCCTGGCAGCTACTTGGGGAAGCCATCCAGTCTCACTTCTTAAAGGAACAGCAAATGTAACCTGGCTTGGAATTTTTGGGTGCTTCCTGAGAAAGGGGCGCAGGCATTTTGAACACAAAGGCACACAAGCAACCCTTTTCTTTCGGGATTTATCTGACTTTTCCCAGCACTGGAGTTTGGGAGAGTGTGCACTGCGGCTGCGGGTGAGGCGACACCGGGCTTGCCGGCCGACCCGAGGTGCTTGGCAGACAAGATGGGTGTGCAGGAGAGCAGGGCAGGCAGAGGGCAGGGCAGGGCAGGGCAGGGCAGGGCAGGGCTTCCTCCGGGAGACTCCTCGGTCTGTGTTGCCCCTGCGTCCTCCCCCACTTGCAGAGGCGCGTTTTCCTGCAATGCAAAGGCAGAGCAGCACCTGTGAGCATTTCCCTGAGCAGCGTCAGGAGCGCAAAACTCAGCTGTCTCAGAGGCCAGTTCTTAAGCCTGCTTATCTGCTTATTCTGGCCAGGGAATAAGAAAAGCGGCAGGTGAGCATCTAGAGGGAAGCCCGGAAGTCAGAGGGAGCAGCTGTCGGTGCCCGGGGCAAGGGCGGCTGACTCGCAGGGTAACAGCACCGGGACCCAGGCGGACAGGGCGAGACAAGTCGAATGCGCAGTCCAGAATCAAGCCGGAAGTCAATACACAGACCACATCCATAGAGACGGGTAGCGTCGTCCAGAGCGAGCCAAAGGTCGGAGAACCGAAGAAGGCGGACCAGCCAAGGAGGACACAGGGACGCAGGCAGGACGCTGGAGCAGAGTTCCGGGTCTGACAGCCCAGGAAGGGCTTCACCAGCAACAGGACAGCTTGCTGCCGAGGCAGCTTCTGAGGGGAAGAGCTGGTTCCCCAGGGCTGAGGACAGAACCCTGCAACTCCCAGAGCTGCTCCGCCGGCCCTTGGCCAGCAGAGGGAGCCCTGAAGCTGCCTCGGGTCTGGACAGTAGCCAGTCCGCAACTTGCTGGCGTGTTTCTCATCAGAAGCGTTTATCATTCTTTCCTTTCTGAAAGTACAAAGAACAAAGAGGAGGAAAGCACCTGTTGTTTTACTGCGTAGCTCCTCCTTTGAGGGATACTGGGGAAAGGCTACAATTCTGAAAGAGGAACACTCCGTAGGCAGGATTTCGCCCTGATACCTGGGATTCCCCTTTCCACAGCAGCCCCAGGGCAAAGTTTGCCAAGGACCAGCTCTGGGTACTGCTCTCCCGTCTCTCCAGTAGCTTCAGAGAGGGGTGTCTTTATTGCTCAAGAGACACCAGCTCCAGAAGAACAAAAGCATGCGGGCAGATGATCAGACCTTGTAGAGGGAGAAGAGGAAGCTGGAAATCCAGCTGCCACTTCTGTTAACAATTTAACAGAGGCAGACTAAGATAAAGAGAAGATCTGCACTAAGGGTCAGGGAAATCTACCAGGATGAGTACCAACTGGGTGCGTCTTTCTTGTGCATGACAACTAGAGTGTTTGCATGTCCTGCTTTGGAGGAGAAGAGATTTAAAGGGCTTTTAGGGTGCCACATGCTGGGATTTGCAAGATGTTTTTCTGCCTAAATATGCATCGAATGTCACTGTTCTTGGCTCTCCAGGAAGTTCTGCCCTGGAAAGGGCTAACAATAAACTTGGCATTTTACAGATCTCCTAGTCATCACACTGGCTCTTTTGGAATTTGGTGGTTTTCACTGATGTCAATATTAAAGAGCTAAAGTAAGGCACCCCAGCTTTTATGATCCTGTTGATTGTTGCTGCGCAGAGAGGGAATTCCAGGAAAGGCAACTCCCAGTCAGTGGCTGAAATCAAAACCGAAACTAAGGCTGTGGGTGAAACACTTCAGAGAGAGGCAGTGATGGCAGCCAGCGGGCTTTTCTCGGGGCTCTGCGCTGAAGTGACATGTCCCATCTGTCGAGATTACTTTGAAGATCCTGTGATGACAGAGTGTGGGCACAATTTCTGCCACACCTGCCTCGCACGGTGCGGTGTGGAGCCCAAAGGACCTGTTTCTTGCCCTCAGTGCAGGACGCAGATCCAGAAGAGGAACTTCAGGTCAAACAGGCACCTGGCGAGTATTGTGGAGCTTGTCAAGACCCTTCCAGAGGGGGAGGACAGAGAAGATGGCCAGAGAGTGTGTGTGAGGCACCAGGAGCCCCTGAAACTCTTCTGCAAGGACGATGAAGCCCTCATCTGTGTGGTCTGTGACAGGTCCATGGATCACCAAGGCCACAAAGTGCTTCCTGCAGATGAGGCGTCTCAAGAGTACAAAGTAAGGTGTTGTTGGGATGGATGGGAAATATTATTTCCAGAGTTAAGTGTGTGGGGGCTATTGAGATAGGCAAGGATACCCCTCGGTAATGCATTTCCTCCCATTTCTTGGTTGCTTTCTACTGTTGCTGTTTTCCTCTTTCTCGTGACTCTCTGTCTCTGATAAAGGTCCAGGCATTTGCTCAACGTGCTGGGGCTCAGAGGAAGACGCAGCAGCTGGCTCAGCCGTCCCTGCGTTGGGTTGTGGGGTCGACTCCTGGGCACTGGGTGTCAAGCGCAAGGTCTCCTCATGAGTCACCGTTTCTGTGGGGGCTTCATGCGCGACACAAGGGTTGTGCAAAGCCTGTCGCCTCCCATTGGTGTGCACCTCTTACCTTTGTGGGGTTTCACAAAGTGACACACAGCTACCCCCTCAGAGAAGCGATGCTCTGTGAAGTTTGTGACTAGGGAGGCTGGTGACCCCAGCATGGAAAAGCAGGAAGCACCTGTGTGTGGAGGGGTCCTAAAGGGGCCCTTAACTGTGATGCGCATCCTCAGGGTTGGGATGAACCCTCTTAGAACCCATCCAGAATCTGTGGACGTCCCGTCTGGCTTGGCCTGGCCCTGCAAAGCGAGCCAGGCCAAGAGGAAGGCCACGGACGATCGTGGACCCGCAGTTGTGTCCCTGGCAACCTTCCCCATCAGGATGCAGAAGAAGGGAGCAGTACGCAGGTGCCCTGGGGACCAGCCTTCCTCCCGGGGCATGGTGTGGAATGGGGGCACTGAAGGCAGGTGCAGCGGCCACCACTCCCAGTGGCCAGCCTTCCTCCCCCTCACTGTTGCCATGGGCAGCTGCAGGCATGTGGAACTCAGAGTGCCACAGAGTGGCCCAGGGTCCGGGAGAGCAAAAGCCAGGGGATCCAATGGATTTTCCACACAAAACAGGTTCCTCACACTTCCATACACATGTGAAGCTGCTCCTGCATGGAGAAAACCATGGGAGTAAAGATTTAGAAACACAGAAACAAAACGAGTCGGAAGGGGCCTCCTGAGCCATCTAGTCTGACCCCAGCTCCAGCCAACTCTGCTCATGACCTGCCTACCAAGATTTGAAGTGAGGAAAAGAAAATAGTAGCATCCTATCAGATGAGTAGACTTTCTGTCAGTGCAAACTCCTTTTCTGCTTCTGCAGAGAAAAATCAAGACCAGTCTGGTGTCTCTGGAGAAGGAGAGGAAGAAGCTTATGGATCAGAAGTTGGTGAAGGAGCTTAGAATGGAGGAACGCCTGGTAGGTGTCTGCAGTTACAACTCACATGTTGCATTTTCGTGTTGACAAACTCCCATTTGCATCCATCAGTGAATCTTTTTTTTTTTTTTTGCATTTGACTCGTCTGTGTGTTGAGGCTGGTGGTTCCTGCCAGTTCAAACATGCAAAGTCATTATTTCAGATGTGAAGCATTTGTCCTGTCAGAAAGACTATGGGTAAGAACTCTTAGCTGGGGACAAGAGAGAACTTTGCTCAATATGGGCTTTGAGGCCACTTTGGGATCCTTCCAGGAGGGAAAAAGATGGGATATAACTATAATGCCTAAACAAAATGCATAAATTAGGGATAAGTAGCCTAAAAAGTTATGCATTTGTGAAAGGGAATGCACACTGGAATTGTATTAAGTAAAACTATTAGGCAAACGTGGATATAAAATGCATAGCTTAGGGAAGGGCACCTCAAGGGAGGGTGTAGCTCTCTGGAACAGCCCCTGCTCTGATGCCCAGGTTCAGCCCACAACCTCTCCAGCCAGGACTGGAGAAACTCCTCCCTGAAGCCTTGCAGAGCTGCTGCCAGCCTGTGCTGGAAAAAGCTGGGCTAGATCCAGCTCCGTATAGACAGGTTCCTGTGCTTTTGTGTTCTTATGGGGAAAGTGCTTAAAATAGAGAAAAAAGATAAAGTGCCCACGGTTCTGTTTCTGTTTCTCTTTCCACAACCTTTACAGAATTCTGATAAACAGCAGTGTATGTGCCGTTTCAAGCACTGGGCCAGCTTCTGCCTCACCCTCTTGTTGCTGCCCTGCCTGGGCATTACTTTCCATGTATTCTTCTTCCAGGAACAGTTAGAACAGGAGAAGCTGAAGATCCGCTCCGCCTTTGAGGGCATCATTACCTTTTTTGTGGAGAAAGGGGAGCTTTGGCTTGGTCAGCTGGACGATCTGGAGGAGGAGATGAAGAAGAGGCAGGAAGAGAGCCTCTGCAAACTCTCCGAAGAGATTTCCCAGCTCAGTCAGCTGATCTCAGAGATGGAGGAGAAGTGCCTGCAGCCAGCAAGCGAATTCCTTCAGGTGAAGCTTCAGGCAGTGGGACTGTTCACTTGATGAAGGAGCCCCTGTGGCTTATTATTAGCCCTTGTGGGTTGTGGCACATGCAGGGGCCATTTTGAATAGTTGAGCCTTGCTATGGTTTATCCTGTCAATTGAGCCCAGGTGTTTTGCAAGAGCTGTTTAACCTTGCATATTCCATGGTACGGGTTTGGACAATGCAACAAGCCGGGGCTTAAATATCCAAAGCCTACCTGGCATGTGCTGTCATGTACTGCAGCCCATTGCAACAAAAGAAGCCACAATGAGTTATTTTGATTTTTCAAATGGGACCAAGGTCTTCTTCCAACAGGAGAGAGCCCTGCACAGAGAGCCCCGTTCCGGAGATGACAAAGCCCCAAGTGTTTGAACTAAACCCCCACATTTCAGCCAGCCCAGTTTCTGATCCACACGTTGCTGTTTCCCCTTCCCCTTGAGCTCGCCCTTCAGCAATGTGTTTAACTCATGCTTCTAGTCCTTATAATTAATTCACCATTAGTCCACTTCAGCCACCCATGAATGTTGGATTAAAGATGCTGTGATCCAGGATGGGAAGGATTTCTGCAGACAAGGAAGGAGTAAAGGAACAAACCCACAAGGCACCTGGGGTTTGTTCTGCCTGTTTGGCCAATGCCCCTTTCTCTCCTTCTGTCTTTCAGGACATCAGAAATGCCTCAAGCAGGTAAGGGGCCCTTGCCCTGCTCTCCTCCTGCAGACCAGATTAGAATTGAACAAATTAAAAATACCTTTAGGAGCTCTGAAAGCTGCCGTGGGGGAGAGCTTTGCCTGCTCAGGAAGTGTGCTTGCTTTCTGCTGACGTGAGCTGTGCTTTTGGGGCTGGAAGTATATCTAGGGAGCCTGGTGGCGGTGGCAGCTTGTCGCCAGTGTCCTTTTCTCAATGCATGCCACGTCACGTGGTTTTAATAGAAGAGGCTGTTGTCAGAACAAGGATCTATATATGTGAAGTGTCTACTCGGCCACTGAGCGATGGGCCCTTTCTTGGCACTGGCATCAGTGCCCCGGTGCTTCTACCTGCCCCTCCTTGTCCCTCACAGAGCGGCAGCACACACAAACACGCACACATCTGGAGTATTCAACACCCCCCACCCCAATTTCATTTTTCCAAGCGTACTCATTTCAGGAAAGTTCTTCACTTGGAGAACGTTGCACATTTTTCAAGCACACAAACTTGCAAAAGAGAACTCAAGCATGTGTTCAGGGATTTGGAAAGATTTTCAGAGAAAATTCACGTTGGGGATTATGAGCAGGGTATTTTAGAATGAGTTGTGATGAGAAGTGACATTCCCATACATCCCCACTTCTGATGGAGTTAGTTTCATTTCAGTGGGTGAGAAATAGTCAGCAGGAGCCCTCTCCCTTGTCCTCCCATAATTAGCAGTGAAATCAAGGGAAGCAAAAGCGAATGGGCCAGAAGGTCTCGCATTTCAAGCAGCAGACGAGGGACACCTGTCCAGAAGTAGATCTGGGCTTATGCTATCATCTAGTGCTAAAAGCTCACAGGGTAATGATATTCCACAAGTGTTCCTTAAACACGGGCACTCTCCATTCCAGGTGTGAGAAGAATGTAATGGAGGACGCCATGGACCTTTCTCCGTGGCTGGAAGTGACTCTCAGATTTACCTCCTTGAAAAGTTCTGCTTTAGAAAAGTCGGTGAAGAACTATCAAGGTACAGGAGTCACCTGCAGGAGGGGAACGGATGCATGTAGCTCATCTCTTTCTTACTGGACAGGAGGAGAATCAGAGAATAGTAGAGTTGGAAGGGGCCATGAAGTCCATCGGGTCCAACCTCCTGCTGTTGCGGGACCCCAAGTTACACCATCCCACTCAGATGGCTGCCCAGTTTCACCTTGAATGTCTCCAGTGTGGGAGAGTCCATGACTTCTTGAGGCAACTGGTTCCACTGGCTCGTCAGGGCCAGCATCTGGAGTCCACATGGCTGGACATCTGCTAAGAGCCCACAGCCCAGCAGAGGCCGCCTGGCAATGGCCTGCCAGGACTGATTCTATTCTTCTGCATTGCACCCTGTGTGTTCACCTGCTATTGCCCCTCAGTGGTGGCCTGGGCAGTTGCCCATGCCTACAGGTTCAAGGGCTCTCAGGAAGGAAGAGGAAGCAGAGATGAGAAAGAGGATGAAGAGCAGTGGCAACAATGAAAATGTAGACTCTGAGGGAGGAGAGCCATTGATGTGCCATTGATCATTTGTCTTGGGCATCTTCCATATGGATGGAAGGGCATCTTTCCTGCCCCTCACCCCCTTGGCCTTACTCCTACTCCTATTATTATTATTATTATTATTATTATTATTATTATTATTAGCAGCCTTACTCCTACTCCTACTATTATTATTATTATTGCTGCTGCTGCTGCTATACCACTCCTAGCCAAAGCTTTCTAGGTGCTTCTCAACATTTAAGTTGCCCATCCAGATTTTATCCAGGCCTGACCCTGCTTAGCTTCCCAGATTAGGCAGTATCAGGCACTTCAGGCTATATGGAACCCTCAGTGAGCAAAGAGTCTGAAGTACACAAGTCCAAATGAAGAGAAACTCCTTTCTTCCTGCTTCAGCTGCCTCCTTCCACCCTGGAGCCCTTGACACAGATAGCAGAGATCAGATAGTATTGTAAGCAGCCTGATCTGAATCGAAATACTGACCTACATGACAGATTTTTGTAAGTGTGGAAGCTGAGAGGAGGTTTTTGTCCGTGAAACACGCAGGATGGTCTGAGTAACTTTGCCACTTTCCCCTGTGCATAACAGAGTCTCTGGACCAAGCCCTGAATATGTGCAACTTGGACCACATTCTGAACAAGGGTAATTTTCTCAGGTTGATAAAGGGAAACTGGGAGGGAAGTTGGTGTTGAGTAGTTAGCCGCTAGGAGAGGTGATGCCCCTACTAGCCATGGCCCTCATGAGGGTTCTGTTGATGCCTTGTGCTCTAGCTGGGTTAAAGGGTTCTGCTATGCTCCGATCATGTGCTGAGGTCCAAATTGACCAGGTTTCATGAAGAAGCCAGACAAGAGCAGATCAGAACCATGGAAAGTGCCAGGAGCTGCTGGTGTGGGAAGACAGACAAGGCTGACCACCGATTGCTCCAACAAGGAGCAAAGCAAGGCTTAGCTTTAAATGAGAGTTTAAATACTTCCCTCTATTTGGCCCCACCTCCATACTAACTGAGGGTTTGTCTTGTAAAGGGGCCTGGCCTGTTTGAGGGCTTTCAGCCTGGGAGTGACTGTGGGTATCAGTGTTCTCCTGGCCCAAGTCTTCAGAGTCTGCAGCCTCCTTTGGATGCAGAGGAACTGGCCCCTGGGGTCCTTCCGGAGAATCCGGTCCAGGGTGCCTCATTATGCCTTGCCACAGCCTGAGCCTTCCCCTGAACCAATAACTCTGCAGCTACTTTTAACAAGGAAGAGGCCATGGAATCCTCCCAGGATGAAGATTCAGTGTCCTGGGCCATGGCAGCTTCTCTGATTAATTAGTCATTTAAGTGCTAATTAAAATGTGGAATTTAAAGGGCATTATAGGACATTTTTGTGGTGGTATGACTAAATCTATTTGTTAAGTTATTGGTGAAAATGTTTTTCTCCTGCCTTTTCAGTGAAAATGCTCAGAATCAAGAAGGACATCACCCCTCTGAGTTTGGATAATGAACCTCTGAAGATGACCGCAAAGTTCTGGCATAATCGAATGATAGAAGACAGTCTCCCAGGTACCAGGCTCTAAGCTGTATAGATAATCAGGATAAACTGAGGTTCAGAAATGAACCAAACACAATGCCACTTTTTCAGAAGTGGCAGGATATGATCCATACACCAGCTACGGACGCAGCCTGTCAACACCACCTTCTGGAACTGGACATCCCATGGGAGGAGAAGCACTGAAACACCCTGCCCTGATCCCTACCCCAGGACACCCACCCAGAAAAAATGCAACGGCCTTTGCTATCAAAAGGCACTGAGAGGGTCAGGAGAACAAGCTGGGCCATGCTATGCCTGGTCATGGTTGTCACGGTAGCCATGAAATCCTGAGCTGCCCTGAAAATGTAGTCTTGGCATAGATGTTGAGATGTCCCAAAACCACAAGCCTGGAAGTTTTCGGCCTCATGTCCAAAATTCTCTCCTTTCCTGAACTCACAGGGATGACAAGGCGGTAGAGGGGTGGTGGTGGGGAGACCATGAACAGAACCCTCAGTCTGAGCCTGGTGCCCAAGTCCAGGCAGTGCTGTTACTCTGTGCCATCCAATCATCTCTGACATAGGGCAGCCCCATGAGCGAGTCCATCCGAAATGCCCTGTAGTTGATGAGGGTTGGAAAGAACCCTTTCAGGATCCATCCCTCCAGCATCTACAGACTTTCTCTCCTGCTCGGCTCAGTCCTGCAAAGCAATCTGAGCAAGGAGGAAAGCGACGGACGCTTGCAGGCCTGGGCTGTGCAACTGGCAACCTTCCCCACCAGCTGCTGCTGGTGGCTGGAGTGGGCTGCTTGCACAGTGCACGGGACTTAAGTCCTGCCTGGGAGCCGCCGCCAGGAGCACAAACTTCCAGGGGATTCGGTGGATTCCCACCCCCAAACTGATTCCTCAGACATGCCTATCTCTGCTCAGTTCCTATAAATCCAGGGATCTGGCTTCCTTTATGCAATTGATCCAAGGCATAGTTGTCCTTCCTCTTCTTCTCCTGCCTTCGACTTTCCCTGGCATGGTTGTCTTGGGTGAAACTCACTTTCTCATCATGTGCCTAAAGTACAACGGCTTCAGTTTTGTCATTTCTGCTTCCAGGGGAAGTTCTGGCTTGATTTGTCTTTGTCTCAGTTCAGGGTATTTACAAAACTCTCCTGCAGCATCATGTCCCAAATACATCCATTTTCTTCCTGTCCGCTTCCTCCACTGTCCAGCTTTCACACCCACACACAGTGACTGGGAATACAATAGTGCGGATGGTATCCAGTGAAACATCCTTTACGTGATGATCCTTTCGGGTTCCTTCACTTCACTGCTGCCCCCCCCCCCCCCCCAGTTTCAACTAACCTCCTCAGCTGCAGTCTCCAATCCATTTGAATTGATCTTTGAGCCAAGCTTTCTACAATTTTTCATAGTCACAGTCACATCACCGTTGACCCTAAAGTTGTGCGATTCTTCTATAATCATGATTTTGTTTTCTTAATGTACACCTGGAGTCTTGGCTGTTGCATTTTCTTCTTTCACTTTCATTAGAAGTTTTTTCTTAATTCATTGCTGCTTTCTGCCAGTAAGATGGCATTATCTACATATCTTCAGTGACTAATGTGTCTTCTGCCAATTTTCACTCCTTCCTTTGATCCGGGTCCAGTTTTCCTTATAGTATGACCTTCCATCTACAGACTGAGCAGACAGTACGATTAAAATACACCCATCGCTGTGTTGAATAGTTTCACTGTTGGCCCTTGGGGAACAGATACAGGAGTGCGGGCAACAAGCCCGTTTAATAGTGTCGGAAGTCAAAAGTTTGCCTACCAGATGCACTCCTTGTGAGGGAGTCAAGTTATTAATGTTGTTTCACTGTGGTCTGACTTTTTGTCACCCTTTCCTCTCTATTGCAGGTTCTCAGGAGCCAACCCTGGAAAAAGGTAACTCTTTGAAAGAAATTTGGTGCCGTGGGAGGCGGATGGACTTTTATGTCGAGTCTCAACATCAGGCCCTTGTTCTGGTGGCATGAGACACAGGGCGGAGGCTGAAAGACCATCCACAAATCCCACCCTATTCTTCAGAGCATCTTCCAAGCCCGCGGCCTGCAGAGGGCCATGCCCTGATGGCCTGAGAGAGGGGTTTCCATGGCTGCTCCCAGGTTGGACCTCCATCCCAGGGGAGTCTAGGTTTGCTCCCTCCCAGCTGCCTGCCAGCAGCCAAAGATGCTTTCTTCAAGAAGGCCTTCGGCTTGTAATGGGGCCTGGGGGACTGGATGCTGCTTTTCATAGTAGAGCATCCAGTTCACCAGACCCTAGGACAGTAGAGTTGGAAAGGACCTAGAAGGCCATCAAGTCCAACCCCCTGTTCAGAGCAGCACTCCAAATTGTAGCATTCCAGGCAAGCAACTGTCGACTTGCATGTTGGATGCCTCCAGTGGGGGAGACCACATGACCTCCCGGGACCATTGCTGTCCTGCTCTAACAGTCCGGTGGTTTCTCCTGAAGTCCAGCTGGAACCTGCCTTCCTGTACCTGAAGCGCATTATTCCACGTCCTGTGCTCTGGGGTGATTGAGAAGAGATCCCGGCCCTTCTCTGTGGGCCAGTCTTCCAAGTATTTGGAAAGAGCGATCAGATCTCCCCCACTGCCTTCTCTTCTCCAGGCTGAACATGCCCCGTTCCTTCAATCTCTCCTCAGAGGGCTGGTTTCCAGTCCCTGGACCATCTTGGTCCCCCCCCCCCCCCCCCCCCCCCCTCCAGCTTCTCTACACCTTCTTGAAGTGTGGTGTCCAGAGCCTTACACAATACTCAGGATGGGGCCTAACCACAATCTTGTGGTTGTGAGCTGCCCAGAGGTGCTGTGGCACAATTGGGCAGCATAGAGATGTTTTAAATTAATAAATAACCATTTAAATACTATTTTTCAGTAGTGATATTTGTATTGTATTTGAAAGGATTGCTTTATTTATTTATTTACTATAGTTATAGCTCACCTTTTTAGCCTGCGAGAAACCCTAGGCAGCTTTACATACTCCTCCACCTCTCCATTTAATCTTCACAACAACCCTGTGAGGTAGATTAGGCTGAATCAGGGACAGGCCAAATTTACCCAGGGAGCTTCATCCCCAAACAAGGGGGCCTCTTCTTCTGCCACCCCACACACTGGCAGTAACAGGAATATTTGTCGAAGAGAGGATGAAATGGGGCACGCAGAGACTGTGTGCTGTAGCGGTTAGAGCGTTGGACTGGGGGCTGAGTGGGGAGATCCGGGTTGCAGTCGCCCCTTAGCCAGGAAGCCCAGTCTGTGCCTTTGCGCCAGTCACAGACTAATCTAACTTACAAGGTTGTTGCAAGGATAAAAGAGAGGAGGAAGATCTCGTGAGCTGCCTTCGGATCCTTGCAAGAGGGAAAAAAAGGCAGGATATAAACGCAGCGCAAGGATAATAGTAATGCAGATGAGATATGATTATGCGGGAGGCTGGCATGCTGACCAACATATGGATGGGAGCTGGGGTGGGGTTCGGGTGTGAAGCAAAATCTTAGCCGAGGATGTACAGGAGCAAAGCCACTGTTTGTCTTACATGCAGCTCTCCAGCGATCCAGCAATTACCACCATAGATTGCTGCAGATGACTAAAATCAATCAAATGATCTTCATTATGTGATTACAAACCCGACAAACTAAAATCATGCATGCTTGAAAGTATTATTTGATGTTTCGTATTGTTTTCATTTTGGTTTGTAATTGGAATTCATGAATTTTGACTCATTGTGCGTAGTTCTAGGAGCAGGGGTAGTGACTTTAGGTCAAACCAGACAGACACATGTTTATGAAACACTCCATTTTGGACTTCCCTTTACCGTGAGGGTGGGATTTCACCTTTTAGATGCATCAGAGTGCAAGAGGGAGGGGAATAAAACCTACTACATTCTCCCCCACCTTACTTCCCTGTATGTCTGCTGTTTTTAGACAACTCTGCAGGAGCAGTACTAGAAATTGAGACGATCCAGAGCTCAGAACCACCACCACCCCAAAACAAAACCCTTATGCTTTGAAGTCTCTCTCTTTGCATTTCCTCATCTCCTACGGACACACCCATTTGTTAAAAGGGACAGGGGACAAAAGGGCATCCAATTTCAGAAAAAGCCTCAGGCGGGAAGATTCAAGGTGGGAACAGCAGGAATCATGGAATAGTGGAGCTGGAAGGGCCCTTCGGACGGGCCCTTCAGTGCAGGCTCCCAGTTAAAGCATCTGTCTCAGGTGGCTGGCCAGCTGTCTCTTGAACGCCTCCAGCGTGGGAAGTGAAACCCTTGTGGGCAGACCCAGCTAAGTCAGGGGGATCATTTGCAACAGAGACCCTGAGGGTCCCTGGATCTTCAGTTCAGCAAGTGCCCACGGACAGCTTCTCTGGGACTCAGGGCCCAGCCCTGCAGCTCCTCTGCCTCTCTTCTTTCCCTCCCATCCAACTCATTTCTGGTGTGAAAGTCAAGTTGGGACAGGAGGTCTTTAAGCAGTAGATTTTGCTCCCCTCCTTATACGCTCCATTTAGCCGAAGAACTGGCCCACCCCCTTTCAGAACCACACAACCAAGCAAACATTTCCCCCAACAGGCGTGGATTTTGTCCGGTCCTTTTCTTGCTCTGCCCTGACCTCCTAACCAGGTTCACACCAAGCATGACGGCAGTTTGGGAATGTCTTCCCAGCAGCTGAAGCGGGTCCTCTCCCTGAAGATGCCCACCATGCCGTTTCCTTCTTCATGCTTATTCTGTCCCTCTTCTCCAGTTGGCGTCACCCTGGATGCAGACTCGGCACACCCTGAACTCGTTCTGTCCGTGGATCAGAAGCAAGTGAAATGGGAAATGGAGCCTCAGGACCTGCCCGGCTCCCCCAGGAGATTTGACACCATGCTCTACGCGCTGGGCAGTCAGAGGTTCACTTCGGGAAGACACTGGTGGGAGGTGGAGGTGCAGGAGACGGGGCCCTGGGAACACCTGTGGGGGCAGCCAGTGTGGGCTGTTGGGGTGGCAAGAAGCACTGTTCCGAGGAAGGGGTACGTCGGCCTTAGTCCTCACGAGGGGATCTGGGCCGTGGGGAAGACGCACAGTGACTTCTCCGCACCTTGTCAGCTCTCGGCTTTTACTTCCCCTGAGCCAACCCCCTTGACCTTGAGGCAGAAAGTCAGGAAGATCCGTGTGGCCCTGGATTATGAAGAGGACTGGGTGGATTTCTTTGATGCTGATTCAGATGACTTAATCTTCACTTTCCACTCTGGTTCATTCTCCGGGGAGGAAGTGCAACCGTTTTTCTACACAGCGGGGTGGGATGGCAGCCTGGCGTGCTGAACCTGAGGAGTCCTGCCGCCAGACGTACACACATTTCCACTACTTGGGAAGGAAGCAGCTTTCTGGAACTCCCTTTGTGGCTGCGTAAGAATGAAGCTAGAGCAGGCTTCAATCCTATGCTTGTTTAGCTAGAAAAAAGGCCTATTACTCTCAGCAAGGATAGCTTTGCATATGCTGATCTGCATATGGCAGGCATGTCATAAGTGGAGCTGGCTGGAGCTGTGGGGGTGGGGGGTGTCAGATCAGATGGCCAGGGAGACCCCTTCTGTCTTGCTCTGTTTCTGTGTTTCTAAAGTGTGTGTGTGTGTGTGTATTTAAAGGATCCAGTCTCCTAAAGAAACCCCATTTGTAAAAGGGTCTTTGCTTTCAGGGGAAAAAGAACACAGACACACAGACACAGACACAGACACACACACACACACACACACACACACACACGAGAGAGAGAGAGAGAGAGAGAGAGAGAGAGAGAGAGAGAGAGAGAGGTTTTCAAAAACTAGCTAATCCAAGGGATGAGATGCAACAGAGATGATCAGGGCACCAGTGCCCGTATTTCAGTAAGTGCCCATGGATCCAGGATTTTGGGGCAACTGACCTTCCCGAGATTTGGGGCTCCGAATAAACAGTTTGGGCTCCAGTCCCAGTGGGCCATTGCTTGAGGAATCCCAGCTCCCTGCCTCCTAATACCATCCCTAGAATATACCTTTGTTTGAAAATTAGTTTTTTCCTGTCAGGAAGCTTGTAAAGGTATAGTTGCCATGGCAGGGGGGGGGTGGGCGAACATAAACCCAGCCCAGGAAGAAGATGTCCTTAGCTTGCTGTGTGCAGGGCCCCGGGAAGGGAAGAAATAGAACCACTTGGAAGCAATCCAATTAAAGAAAGCTGCTAAGCAGTCTTTCCTGTCTGCAAACTTGCTAGAAGCTCCTGCGGATGTTCGTACATGCAGTTTGCACCCGAGAAGTTACACATTGAAAATATAGCATCTTCTTTGGAAAAGGCTTTTTCCTTCAGTTATATTCTACTGTATTTTCTGGTACGAGCATTGCTATCCCAAGGAGCTGAATTTCTTGAGAAGCTCGTTTGTTTGTGATGTTTCTAAATCATAACTAATTTTAAAATCAAACATTTTTCCTTGAGAACTGACAACCTGCCAAGGAAAAGTGCTCTTATCTTCACAGTCTGGGCTAAAATAGTTTGGTGACTCAGCCTGAAAATCATCCTGACTGCGATGGACTCAAAAACGGATTCTTTATTAGACGCATTGAAGTGAACAGGGAAAAGAGCACTGCCGTTCTCTTGGGCAGGTTCTTCTCAATTCAATGGGATTTGTGCAGGAAGTATCTTTGTGATATTTGTGATCATGTCCCCAGGTGAGATCTCTTGCTCATTCTGCTGCGGCATCCAAAATCTGTTTCCTGAGTTGGCCACTTCATTTTACTGCTGGGATACCTCTCTAAGTTAACTGAAAGCATTCTTAACATGTTTAGATATCTGTTTGATTGGATCTTTTTCAAAGTAGAAATGAAAAAAATGTACATTATCTTTCTTTCAATAATTACTGTATAATTGTTTTTTCTTCTTTATACAGAGTGCAGCGATTCCAGTAAATGTTGTATATCTTTATTTTTTAAAGTGCTCCAATATTGAATAAATGTTCCCCAAGTCTGTGTAAATTTGTTTATTGGTCTTATATAACCAATAAACCTTATCACAATGGAGTACTCATAGAACCCTGACTCCTATTTGGTAATATTGAATTCTGTTGAATATTTGTGCTAAAAAGTCTGCCATTAGTAATAAAATAAATATACTGGCATTTTTCCATATAAATCAATAAAAGTAAATGTGCATCTTCTAGTTCTATTTTTATTTGCATTATTCTTTCCACTATTTGTATCCAAAATGTATTTTCTCAATGTAAATTAAAATAAGTACCAAAGCTTAGTCTAGGCATGTCCAGTCCCCCTGCAAAGAGAGGAAGCCGCTACGTTTGTCTGGTCGTTGAGGTTTTACGACACGTGTGAATCGGACCCGTTTCGCCAGCATACCTGACCTGGCTGCTCACTCGGGTCCCCGGTTTTACTGAAATGGTGAACAGCCTTCAGTCTGTTTGAGTCTTTTGAGAACCTGAGGATTCCAAGGTAGATACTTCAGACTTGGAACCTGAACTAGAAGAAGAGGGAGGGCCAGAATTCTTTCTGAATTCCCAAGGGCGGTGAGCTGCAAGATAAGCCAAGCAGTTGCTGGGAGCAAGGCCAATTTTGGAGCAAGGAGGGTCAGGGGAAGAGCCCTGAATTTAATGAACCCAGTGGTTTGATGCCAGATCGAAGGAGGGGGACAGTGAAGCAGCATTTGGCATTCCCACTGCCTGCCCTACAAGCAGCAAAAGCCACCCTAGAGTAGGTGCAGCCTACTCTATTTGCCCGGGAATGGGAATTCAGTTTGGAATCAGCTCCTGGCTTGAGCAGGATCAGCAGCAGCAAGTAGAGGACTCCTTACCTTGGCGGAAGCCCCGTACTGACCACCATCACCATCATCGTCACTGCGTCGTATCATAACCCACCTTCCTTGCAAACAACCCAACGTAGATTACAAGGTTGTTCTCCTCTTTTCTTTCCTCTCAAGAACCTAGGTCAGGTTGAAAGCCTGAACTTTGCAAAAGTCCCAAGACCACCCCTCGTGCTCTCCCCCAACTGGTGATATCGGCCCCTCCCCATTCTCCCATGCCCTCCAGTCCTGGACCTATGTAAACTAGCATCATCGCCTTACCTGGAAAGAGACCTTGTGGTTGTGGTTAGTCCTATGTCGTGTCTGAGCCATCGTGACCCCATGGACAACATTCCTCCAGGCCTTCCTGTCCTCCACCATCCCCCGGAGTCCACTCAAGCTCACGCCAACAGCTTCAGGGACTCCATCTAGCCACCTCCTCCTCTGTCGTCCCTTTCTTCTTTTGCCATCTATTGTTCCCAGCATTAGGCTCTTCTCCAGGGAGTCCTTCCTTCTCATTAGGTGGCCAAAGTATTTGAGTTTCATCTTCAGGATCTGGCCTTCTAAAGAGCAGTCAGGGTTGATCTCCTCTAGGACTGACCACTTTGATTGCCTTGAGGTCTAAGGGACTCGCAGGAGTCTCCTCCAGCACCACAATTCAAAGGCCTCAATCCTTTGGCGCTCAGCCTTCCTTATGGGCCAGCTTTCACAACCATATATTGCAATCAGGAAAACCATAGCCTTGACTATACGCTCTTTTGTTGGCAGGGTGATGTCTCTGCTTTTTAGTATGCTGTCTAGACTTGCCATAGCTTTCCTCCCAAGGAGCAAGTGTCTTAATTTCTTGGCTGCAGTCCCCATCTGCGGTGATCTTGGAGCCCAGGAAAATAAAATCTGTCACTACCTCCATTTCTTCCCAGGAAGTGAGAGGACCGGATGCCATGATCTTAGTTTTCTTAATGCTGAGTTTCAAGCCCACTTTTGCTCTCTCCTCCTTCACCCGCATCAAGAGGCTCTTTAGTTCCTCTTCACTTTCTGCCATGAGAGTGGTATCATCTGCATATCTGAGGTTGTTATTTCTCCCAGCAATTTTAATTCCAACTGGTGATTCATCTAGCCCCGCCCTTCTTATGATGTGCTCTGCATATAAGTTAAATAGGCAGGGCGACAGTATACAGCCTTGCCAAACTCCTTTCCCAATTTTGAACCAATCAGTGGTTTCATGTCCAGTTCTCACTGTTGTTTCTTGACCCACATACAGGTTTCTCAAGAGACAAATAAGATGGTCTGCTACTCCCATCTCCCATACTGTCGGCATTGCCCTTCTTTGGGATCGGAATGTAAATCTCTTCCAATCCTGCGGTCACTGTTGAGTTTTCCAAATTTGCTGGCATATTGAGTGTAGCACTTTTACTGCATCGTCTTTTAAGACTTTGAATAGCTCAGCTGGAATACTGTCGCCTCCACTAGCTTTGTTGTTGCTCAGACTTCCTAAGGCCCATTTGACTTCACATTCCAGGATGTCTGGCTCGAGGTCAGTGACCACCCCACTGTGGTTATCAGGGACGTTAAGCTCTTTCTTGAATAGCTCCTCTGTGTAACCTTGCCACCTCTTCTTAATCTCTTCTGCCTCTGTTAGGTCCCTGCCATTTTGGTCCTTTATCATGCCCATCTTTGCATGAAACATTTCCTTCATATCTCCAATTTTCTTGAAGAGATCTCTGGTCCTCCCTATTCTATTGTTTTGTTCTGTTTCTTTGCACTGTTCCTTTAAGAAAGCATTCTTATCTCTTCTACCTATTCTCTGGAATTCTGCATTCAATTGGGTGTATCTTTTCTTTTCTCCCTTGCCTTTCGCTTCCCTTCTTTCCTCAGCTATTTGTAAAGCTTCCCCAGACAGCCATTTTGCTTTCTTGCATTTCTTTTTTTTGTGGGGGGGGGGGGGGGAATGGTTTTAGCTGCTACCTCTTGTACAATGTTATGAACCTCCATTCATAGTTCCTCAGGCACTCTGTCTATCAGATCTAATTCTTTAAATCTATTTGTCACCTCTATTGTATATTCATCAGGTATATGATTTAGGTCATACCTGAGCGGCCTAGTGCTTTTCCCTCCTTTCTTCAATTTAATCCTAAATTTTTATTATTATTATTATTATTATAACATTTCTA